ACTATTTCACTATGAATTCTAGTAGCAAGGATTTAGCCAGGATCTCCGTCAGGGTGCTATGTGTGATAGCCTGTACCTGTATGGCCCAGGTGATTTGTTTGTTATACTGTTTTTAAGTCTAAGGCTTAGCAGTGGTGGTTGCTTTTGACAACATTTTTATGCCATGCTGTCTTTATTTAGTTAATTTATTTCCACTGGAAAGACATTTTTCCACAGCCCCATTTCTAAATAATAGAAATAAGTAACTTGACAATGACATACATTTGCTTCAACCAAGAGTCATGGGGGGAGTTTTTAGGCTGAAAGTAATGCATGACTGCTGCTAAAATTTGACAGACAAGATAATCCTTTTTTTTTTTTTAATTCTTGGAGGCTTTCCTAGAATGATACATACTTATTTACATAGAAAAAAAAATCAAAACCAGGACTGCATCATTGCATCTGTACAGTTTTTGAAATGTTTTGACACATTTGCTGAGATTTACTAGGCAATTTCACATGCTTGTCTGGCAATTTATAATCCATTATTTTGCACTACAGGCTGCATCCTTGAGTTTATTTTATGGCATAGACATAAAGTAAACTAAATGACAACAGCCCCTGGCCTCTCCCTTTTATCTATGGCAATGACCTTCAGTAAACAGAATCCAAGGGATGCTGCACATGCATTTTGATATGTATTTATATTAATGGGAATGTTTCTGAGTAAATGAGGAAGCAAGCCTTGGCTTAGGGTAGAGTAACAATGCAATTATTTAATAAACCACGTGTTGCAAGAATCTCTCAGTGTCAGTATTGCGTCAAAAGGTGTACTGTTTTAGAACCATCTTTGGGCCTTGGTTTTCTAATACTAGCTGCTGAGAAAAAATTACAAAAATCTGGTTTATTTCTTTTTGAGCTGATGGATTTATGCAGTAAAGTTTGGATGTGTATCAAATACAGCACAAAACTCCCACTCAGTTAAGGGCAGAATTAGTCCCCCCAAATTGGAGGTAGATTAGTATTAAAGGAGAGAAATAATTAAGTATTGTACACCATAATTTTGATGTTAATGTGAATATTATAGTCCAAATTCTACTTTCTTTCATTTAATCGGAAATCAATGAAGCAACTCTGTGTTATAAGCACTAGAAATAAAAGGAGAACTGCAGATTGAGCAAAGTAAAACACACTGGGTAGAAGACTAGGGCTTCACCCTAATTTTCACGGCATAGGGGAGATTTACATGGAAAATAACTTTTAAAAGCTGGAGGAGGAGAAGACAGAGGAAGGAAAGGTATGCCTGACCTGCAGTTTAAGATTAATTTGTGCTGCAAGGTCAGGAATGTTGGAATTTTAAGGGTTTGTTTTGCCCACTATTTGGAGTCAATTCATATTTTTGTACTAGAGCTGAACTTCTCCAATGATAAACATGTTTAGCTCCAGGCATTTGGTTTGTCACCAGCTGGTAGCAGGGGGAAAGCATTGCTTATTCTCCAGACTAGTGAGAACTAACTTGGAAAACTTCTGTTGCTCCAGTTCCAAAAAACACAGCTAATTTACTCGACCCTTTTTTTCTGGAAAGTTTATAGTTGGATCATTCTTATTACAGAATGTTTTACATTTTGTCCTAAATCTTCTTACATTTTCATTTTGGACATGGGTCTATAGAGCATCATGATGTGTACCAGTACAGATACCAAAAAAAAATTATTTATTTTATTTTATTATAGACCAGATTGTAACCCGTCCTCCATATTATTTTAATGAAATAAGAATACAGAAAACACTGCTGTGGGTTAGGTGGCACAGTGCTACAGTGCCACTACACTAAAAAAGGCCATTTTTTTCAGCACAAAGAAATATACTCTGCTCTCAGAGTAAACCTGAGCTCTATCCCTTTGGAACAGTCCATAGACTTGGAATATATGCTGTACGTGGAGTTATATATGATCTTGTAGGAGCAGGGGAAACTGAGCCAATGTTTCCATTTTAAAAAGCAAGTGGAAACAGAAAACCAAAGTCTGACATTCAGGCTAATAGAAGCTTGGCCAATCTGAAGTAATAGGTTTGCCTAATGTAAAAACCTAGTATACTTTTACTGTAGGTTTATATTCTTAATTATGTAATTCACATTAGTTATCACTGTATAACAATTTGCGCAAATCCTCCTCTTCCTGTAACCAACCTTAAAAGATACCACTTATTTAAAACAGAGTTGGAACAAAAGAGTAGCTTGTATTACCTCCAGCTCCACGTGTTTTTCTTCCTTGTCATGGTCCTTCAATTCCCTTTCAGAATGATCATCACAGTCTTCTAAATGACAGATGTGTTGATGTTTAGTAAGTTCATGTTTAGCTTGCTTTCTTTGAGAAATATTCCTTCTATGGAGACCACTGAAAAATGCCTCATACAGTGGCAGTTCTGTAAACACATCATCATCTCTACCATCTGCCTCTTCCTCTTCAGATGAAAAATCTTCTGCTTCTCCTGCCTCGGAAATATGGAGTTTAGTATTAGGTTCATGTGATAAAAACTCAAAATCAGAAAATGTGATCGCACTTGGTTCGTGTTTTATGACTCTGATCTCATGACTCCTTTCTGGTTTCTTCTCTGAATTTTTTGCTGGAAGGACTGGCGATTCTCTGTGTGAGGGGAGGTTTGAAGGACCTTTCTGTGGTTTGTGCCTTGCAGAACAGAGTAATTCTTCACAAAGGTGCTTTGTCTGGGGCTGATCGGTGGCACTGATGCACCCTGCAGCCGTGCCAGGTTGCAAGGATGTCTCACTGTAGTCTAATACGGACGATGCAGACAGCAACTCAGGTTCCAGTAAAAGATGCTGAAATTCAGATGGACTTGCCTGTTTTTCTATCTTTCTTTGGTATTCTTCATACTTTGCCTCCTTTGGAATCCCCAGGCACTTGAGAGATGTAAGATAAGGTGAGCCTTGTTCTTCTTCATAGATGTTAGTTTCCATTCCAATGAGTTTCATCCATCAGAGATCAAAATGACTTCATACTTGATTTTCTTAAGAAACATAACTCTGCATATGTAGCCAGGAAACAGCTTCTTATTCTTCCAAAACCATGATCACACAATCATTATTAATGCCTGGATTCTCATACAAAATATCTGAATCCTCTCTGCTCCTGAAAGTTTAAAAAAAAAATATTTATGGTAACATGCTTGCATTGGAGTGCATCAGCAAAAGTAATCCTGAAACATAAAATTCCCATATCAAATTTACTTAAAGGTGTCCTCAAAAATATTTGATGTGTGCAGATTAAATGAACTTAAAACATGAGAACCTTGACTTGTTTGCCTTAGAGACTAGGAAAGAAGTGGCAAATACAGAAATGGATTTTAAGTATTGACTTTATGTTGATTATTGACACAATGGTTCAGAATCATTCCAAGTGAATGTTAGCTATATACTTGTTATTGAAACATGCCTCTGTTTACTATGTTTTTATTGTCTGTTAAATAATTTAAAAGTTTTACACTGTTTTGATAAAGCTACTAAAATGTTACAAGGAAGAGAAAGGAGCCAAACAGACAGAAAAGAAAGAAGATTTCAGTACAGATAGAATTTTCTGTCTCGGCTTCTGTGAACTGCCAATGCAGGGCAGAACCTGTCCACTTCCAATAAATTTGTAAAGCAGAAAGAGGAGGCTAAAAATACAGAAAGCTTCAGCACTACATCAGAGTAGGCCATGTCTGGTCTAAATCAGTCTTAACTTCTGTGCTCACATGTAGGCTGCGCACTTCCAACGCATGGGAAGAAGGGAGCAGCTGAAGCACCGAGCTTGCATCAGTGAATGGCTTACATCCACCCATATATGTAATTTACTTTTTGTGACAGATTGAATATTGATAGTGTTTATTTTAATGATTGTTTCAGTACTCCATCTGTGAGAGAGCAAAGCAGAACAGAAGCTTTTCAAAATAAAAAGAGACGCTTAAGCCTTTGATGTATGTGGCAAACCTGTCAGTGATGAGGAAGACATGTCAGGAGGCAGCGCTGTGACTGTCAAAGTGGGAAGCAAGCAAAGTAAGATGTTGGCATGTGGCGTGCCTCTCACTGCATGTACCAGAAACTGAGCAACGCACACCAGCCAGGCACATTCTAGTGCTGGTTAGTGTGTATTTTAGTGTTATAGACATTCATGGGATAATAGAAAGAATACTGTTGCACATACAGAAAATTTGGATTTATTATATTACCTTTCTAATTTGAACTGCAGCTATAAAAAGCGTGAGCATGCAGGTATGCGCTGTTTAGGTAGACTTCCTCTCAGCTATCACTAGCTATTTAAGTCAGACATTATTGTAAGCAACTGTCTAGCCTCCTGCTGGAGTCAGTGGAGAGAAAAAAGTGCTTCCAGAAGGTAAATGGTCTCACTTGTCTTGGATACCTATTTTGACATGGGATGAGTCTCCCTCCTGGCATGAATGCCTTATCCAAAACTATGGAGGAAGTCTAGACAAAAAGCTTACACTGATCACCCAACTTTTAAAGGGACAAATAAAGGAAAGAAGATTCTCACCCCATATCTTTGTTACACAACTATAATAGATTACATTGTCTATATGTGAATGACAAAAACTACTTGTGAAGCCCTCATGTTCTCAGCTTCAAGTTAGCCTTCTACGCAGAAGTGACTTCACTTTCAGGAGCGCCGAACGCCCTTGGTTCTCCCTAGCATTCAGCAAAGTAATTGAGCACAGTGTCTTTGAAACAGAAAACACATTCCTACATTTGTAGAGAATAACTGGAATAACTAACATTTCACATACTACTATGTACATTTTAGGCACAGTGAAAAAGCCCCCTGCCATTTCAGGTGAATATCGAGTATTATCTGTGCTTCACTATGAGCCATCACCTTTGTTTTCCAGTCCCTGGCCCCCTCTGCTAGAAGGCGTGCTGCTAGCACCCACACTCTCACCATGCAGACCCAGGGGTGAGCAATATTCACCCAGAAGACTCCCCAAAAGGCAGCAAAGAGCTTTGGCCGGGCTGCCCACACCAGCCTGTTGCCATCAGGTGAGAGGATGGGTTGTGTTCACCAGCCATTGTTGCTGGTGGCTGCCCTGTTCCTCACCTATTGGTGGTTCCAGCAGGAGGAGCAACGCTCAGGTCCCCAGGTCTCCCCCCCCCAGACTCTCTTTCCCAGCCTCACCCTTTCCTGTTGTCACTCTTCCTTTTCTGGCAGAAATTGCCCATCCTTGGCCTGCTCCCTGGACCCTCTTTAGTTCTGGTAATGCTGCCAAGCAGGCTCTGCTGTGATGACACCTGCAGGAATATACCTCTGTGTTCAGAGCACCATCTTTGCTGTTACAACCCAGAATACAGCATAAAATGCTCCAGAAGAAGCTACAGAAATTCTGCAGTAGGCAGGCATGGGATAAGTGGATTACATATTTTTTATTTCTAGTATTTATGATGATGCTTCAGACCCCAAAACATGAATTGTCATCCCTGCAAAGATTTGTATTTTTCATTATCTCTGGATATTCCTGGCATCTAAAATAAATGTCCAGCTTCTTTTAAATTTTCCCTAAGTTATTTCTCTCAAATGATTTCCAGTTTCACAGGATGTGGTGTGAAGCTGTAATTTTTACAGTTTAATCATGAAAGGCATAAAAAAGTTTTTCTGTTTATTAGATTTGTGTACTCCATTGGACTCTTTCTTTTCTTTATTTTTCCTGTGATGAGACTGGAACAAAATATGCAAGAGCGGGCTGGTTTTCTGCAAGTACGGCAAGAAATCTCTGAAGAGGAAGTAGTAAGAAGAGAGAGTGTGAGTTTACCCTTATTCATCCTGTGGAACATATCTCTTTATTCAATCTAGCACTAGTGACTGGGAAAAAACCCCACCCTTATACAAAATATCAAACTGCATATTTTATAAGAAGTTACACATAGACATTTATAGCTCCTAAAAAAGGAGCATTTTTGGCAGAGCTGTGGATTTGGAAATCCTGCCCATAGCAAAATGTGTAACTCGGAGAGGGCTGAACATTCGGAGCTAAATCTGTACATGTCGTAAAAGGCCTGTAACACAGCCCTGCAAAATAAGATAATTCTCACCACTATTCTGAACGTATGCACGTACAAGTTCTGAAAAATAATAATCTTTCTGGAAAAGATCTTCAAGACTTTGTAAATAGGGAAATTACTTTCATATGCATATATAATTCTAAATATATACTGTAGCATTAGCTCTACTGGTAGGCACTAGTGTAGGTAAAGATGTTGTTGAATAATAAAAGTCTCTCAGGCGTATGTGTGGTTTTTTCCAACTAGAAGGGAAATGTGGGGGCTACCACAGCTAACTGTCCAACCAAAACTGACTCGAAAACAGCTTAAGGAAGGCCACAAAAAAGCAACACAGCTTCTTTTTTAAAGCCAAATTGTGCAATGCATATCTGGGTGTAGCAACTTCAGCTTTTTACATACACAACTTCAAAACTGACAACCTGAATTTTATTTTCTAAGGAAAGCTCCTTGCGAATCAGCAATAAATTAATACAGATTTGTGATACAGCTAGTGAAATGCTATGGAAAGAAAGTTGTCATATGGGCTGGCACAAGCAAATGTGTATGTGCAGACTCACAGATAAATTTTTATGTATCATGCTCTATTGGCTTGATTTTCCTTTGCCCAGATAACCAAAATTTGTATTAAAACTCACCAAATTTTGCACAAAGACCACACAAAAGGTATATATTAGGCTTAACCATTAAACAGGAGGATTTTAGAGAGAATTTAATGTTCATAGACTCATTTCTTTTTTCTTGAGTCAGTACAAGGAGAATTGTTTTCTGCTTCTAATCAAAGCAAATGATTATGCTTTATTTCATAGGGTTACTGTAAGAGCAAGTCACCTAAACTAAGTTTTCAAACATTGCTTAAATTAGTGCCTTGCAATACCCATTCTGTATTTTGGCATTACAGAGCATGTGAAAGTGTGGAATCTTCTTATTTCTTTTAATTCAATTCAAACTTGAACTGACATAGTAAACCCGCAGATCAAGCCCTGATCTTGGCTGGAACAGTACACCACTCATCTAAAATAACGAGTTTTTACCCCTCAGCCCCTAATGCATTTGTTTCCCTTTCACAATGACTTTGCTTAATGTTTCCCACTGACTTAAACAATCTTCCCCTGAAAAATTAAGCAAACAAGCTAAGAGAATGTGAGCACACAGACGAAGAGCAAATTAGGAGATTAGGATTTTTTTTTCCTGATGATTTTTTTACCTGTTTTGCAAGGTAACCCCATATTTTTCAATTCAGTTAATTTCCATAAGCGTAACAACAGGAGCTCAGTGAGTAGCCAAAAGATCCTCCAAGCGTTGGAGCAGAACAGAAAAAGAAGTGAGCAGATCCTTAACAAAAGGCATTTCAGCTTGCTTGCTGCACAAGAACTCTGTCAACAGAAGTATGTGTGAGAATCCCTGGGGCGAAAACAGCCTTCTGCAAGCACTGGCCAAATTATTCACAGAAAAAGACAGAAAAAAAGGAGAGGGAAGAAAAAAAAAAGAGAGAGAGAGAGAACGAGAGCATGCTTCGCAGGAACACCAGGCACTTCTAAAAATACAGTGTGACCTCATTCTTCACTTTATGCCAGACCTTAACATTGTGCTTTGCTTTATCACCTGGAGCACCTGGAGTCAGGTTCCCACTGCACACACTCGACTTTGGCTGCTGTCAGGTTTTGAAAAGGTAGGCTGTGAAATGCCTTTTGATGTAGTATAAAGCCAGCATAAAGGAATACCAAAATTAGCTTTCCATGTCACTTGCAAATGCTAATTATTGTTTGCCTATGTTTCTTCAAGACCTACATTTGCTGCCAAGGCTTCACGAGTCTTCCCTTTTATATGTGTTAATAGGATCATAGCTTGCAGACAGACTTCTGCACAGGCTGCGAAGTGTGGCTATAGTGTGGGTTACCGGACATGTGAGATTCTGAGGGCGATTATAA